TAATTACAATCCTGTCAGATGTTGAGCGTCATTGTCACAGTTTTATCGCCAAGATCGCAAACAGTTCAAATGTTTATCTCGCCTTCAAAAAATTATTTTGAAGACGGCTTTTTCACGTTTTAGACCAATGTTATGGCAAGACTATGTTATGAAGAACTTCCCACACTAAATATTGACAAGACATGTGGTTGCCGTGCAGTCAGGCGATTTTCTCAGGTTGTCAGATAGAAAACTTCACCTAGAAACTACACAAATGTCAAAAAAACGATGTTAGATAACAGGGTCTTTCTGACCCAGGTTCATAACAGATGAGTGACATTGTAGTTTATGTGTAAAACACATGAATGCACAGCAAATACATGACATTTTGACAGTATCCAGTATGATTCAGTAGCATAATGTATGCAAGTTGGCGCGCAACATGGCCTTGCCATAACATTGGTCTGTTGTGCGGCAGAATCGGCCCATTATGTACTGTCATTTGTGATTATTCACATTAAAACCAATGAACTTAAACCAAGAGTAGTGATTAATTTCCATTGATTTTATTGCAATAATCAAGTGCTTAATAGAACCTCGATTAATTTAGCTTAAGTTTAGTGTGCTGTTGTCCAAAAGAAAACCAAACAAATTATGAACTACCTACGTAAAAATCAGCCTCTCAGTGGATATGTGCTCTAGAGAAATACATTGGACGAAGAACTAGTCAACCTGCAGTGGCAGATACTTGTGTAAGTTAAAATGCTCTGGCATTTTAATTTTTGAACTTCTCAATGAATAAATTAAATTGTATAAAAATTTGAATTTATAGGAAGGTTTTTATTTCTTGTATAGGACTGAAACCTACAAGACCATCGTTTCCGTACTTAGGACACTAAGAATACACCAGTACAAAAATGTTTAGCCTTACAAAAACATCTTTATTCAAAATGTTCACTAGCTCTCATTGCCAGTCTACATGGACATAACTTAGATTGGTGTAAGTAGTCCTAATTTATTACTATTAATTACCAAATGATTAGCTTGATTAAATATTTATGTTACCATATGATTGAACATGATATCAAATTCACGGCTGAAAGGATGTGAAGGTGGGTAATTCCTGGTGAACCTTGGTACGCGTCCTACATGATGTACCATGTCTCCTGAGGCTCCTGCATCACTAACCTTGAAGAAAAAGAATATTTTAAAAATATTGAAGGATCCTTTAAATAATTTAAATATTATCAATCACAAACTGTAATATTTGTTAAGAATATAAAATATGAGTGCAAGAACGAAAGTATAGTTGCATGATGGAAAGGCGCTATGAAGCATAATGTTTCAAATATTTTGTACGCCTGACTGGATATAATATTTCTCTAAACTTGTAAATGTTTATTAGATCCAGTAATGTGATAAATATTTTAATATTTTATTCCTAAACACCAAAGTAGAATACAAAATAACTAAGTTAATGTAGTTGCAAAAATGAATGGTTTAGTTGGTCATGTCTAGGGTTTGTCGGTTTTCGAAAACCGGTTTTAAAAACCGTTTTTTTGACGAAAATTGCGAAATTCGAAAACCATTTTTAACGGAAAAAGTCGGTTTTTACTGTATAAATGGAAAGTGACAAAAATACTAGATGGAAGCAAGCGTTTTCATACTTGGAATCATATCGGTTCGATGAAATTTGGAATAATATCAGTCTGTTATAGTTCCTAGAAAGGTTCTGTGTTATCTTTTGTATAATGCATATTATATTAATTTAGATTATTGTATTCACTATCATAAACATATTTTATTCTCATCTGTGAGAATGATGCATTAATAACGAATATTTATTTTCAAAGTTATTTAATCGAGATCAACTATTATTTCTTTGTTCTACTTTTAAAAATTAAAATCAATTTGTTTACTATTCATAAAATTGAACATAAAATAAATTCAGTCGAAAACTTCTTTAAATCACACTAAATATGCCGATAATATGTTTTATTATTACAGAATATTCGAGCAAAAATGGATTTTTTATATAAAATTCGAAAATCGGCTAAAACCGGTTTTCTGGAAAATTTAGAATTCGAAAACCGGTTTTCTGAAATGTCGGTTTTTGTATAAACCCTAGTATAATGATAGAGTCCTTGGTCTTAATGAGCATACTAAACCATTAAAGTCCCTCCGAAACTGTTTCAAATATAAAAATCATTGATTTCTAAAAATTTGATTTTAGAGTGCGTTCGTTTTCAATTATGTGTAATAGATCCACTCGGAATACTTTTATCACTCATAAATTAATTAATATTTTATTGATTAAATCGATTATTTAAACAAATCGAGAAGTTTATGTAACTTGCCTCAAGGCAAAATACCAATATCAACTAGTTTTAAGTTTAAAAAAATTCAAATAATGTGCAAAATTAACACAGCAGGAATAATTTCTTTCATCAGAACGTGCACAACATTTTGTATTTTACTAATTTTAAAGAAGTAGATGTTTATAGAATTGTTAAGGAAAAACACGTTCGTTTTCAATTATGTGTAATAGATCCACTCGGAATACTTTTAATCACTCATAAATTAATTAATATTTCATTGATTAAATCGATTATTTAAACAAATCGAGAAGTTTATGTAATTTGCCTCAAGGCAAAATACCAATACCAACTAGTTTTAAGTTTAAAAAAATTCAAATAATGTCCGAAATTAACACAGCAAAACTAATTTCTTCAGAATCTGCACAACATTTTTTTCACTCAATTTAAAGAAGTAGATGTTCATAGAATTATTAAGGAAAAACACGATAAAATTATTATGTCATATAAAAACAACATTTAAAAACCGAACAAAAATTGAAATTGAATTACGGTAAAAATATTTTTACTAACCTGTGGTGGTTGTCGTTGAGCTCCATCCATGTCCAAAAGTAACTATTTAAAACAATAGTACGACGACAAGTTAAGTAAACTTCAATGACAAAGTGCCAAAAAAATCTATAATTAAAATATTAACATTAGTTTTAATTATATTAATACAAAAGCATATAATAACTATCCTTACCTTACTGAGACAGCTTCGTCATAATAAATTCATCAGTCACTGACAACTCCAAAAATGCACTTTTTCGAAAAAATGATAAAATCCGATAATTTTATTATTCCTTGATGTCCACGATTTAGTTGAAGTAATAAGCGTTCAAAATATATTCGTAGAAAAAATTTGGTTAGAATTTAAAATGTTTACGAAAATTTTGGAAACGTTTTGTAAAATATTTTTGCTAAACTAATTCGGACCGAGTATAATTTGTTTTTGGATTTGGCTAGTGTACTAGATTTTGAAATTTGGATGTTGGTTTGATTTTGTTTCAAAAAAATATGTATCGAAATACCCATGACCCAGGAAAAATATATATCGATATACCCATTTTTCCTTGACACAAGTTGCGTGAGATTACGTGATAATTTTAAAAAATGAATTTAATAGAGAGATTGAGTTTTTTAGATAAAATTTTCAACTGTATGTATAACTAGTGGTGTATGGCATTGTGCCTTAAGGCAAATTGCTGGAACTTCCGTACCGTAACGAAATGTTCGAGAAAAATTATAAATACTGTAACAACAATTTATAAGAGTTATATAAAAATTACTTATATATAAGTGAGTTTTAGGACTTTAGCTAGAATTAAAATTATAATCTGAATTATTTTCGATATACAAAAAAAAAATTGAGAAAAAAAAATTAGGAAGAAAAAAATTGAATTTTTCCCCCAAAAGCAATTATTTTGTCAAAACAAACAGAAAGTTTTTTGAATCATTCAAATCGGAAGCTTATTTCTCTCAAAAACTGACATTTTTTGTATATTTAGCTCTGTATCTTCGAAATAGCTCGGCCTGCCTTGGCCAAAAACTAATATCCATTTCTCCCAATCATTACTAATGGAATGTTCTTTTGATCATTCAAATCGGATACTCCGTTCTCTCGAAAACTCGATTTCTATTTTCTGCACTCTTTGCTCCATATCTCCGTAACGGCTGGACCTGCCTTTACCAAAAACGAATCAGCACATCTCCCTATCAATAGGAATCGAATGTTTTTTGAACCATTCAAATCGGTTGATCCGTTCACCCGAAAACGTAAACGACACAAAAATACAAAGCCCACACAGACACACATTTAATTTTTTATTTTTTAATATTTCTTATATTTTATTATATAATTCTCTCATTTATTTTTATCATTTTGATTTTTAATATATTATCATATTTCTGTACATAATTTTATCCACAATTTTATTCATTTTGTATAAAAAATCCATCATCTTCGGTTTTTCTTAAATATACTGTTTGCTTAAATCTTATCAAGATCATGTTTCTTGACAGATGTCCTGAAGATGGAACGTACCTAGTTCCAAAACGTCGACAATAAATAAATTAAGAAATGTTTTTTTAAAAAACTTTTTTGTTTTCATTACTTTTTGAATAATTTGTTCGAAGCTCTACAAAATATTTACAAATTCAAGACTCTACCATGTAATATATATATATATATATATATATATATATTATATATATATATATACGAGTATATGTTAAAGAAGTTAGTTTTGATGTTGAGAAATATGAGTAAGTTCTTCAAGGGCATACATCAAATAAAAGGCAAAGATTTAGATTTCTAAATTTCTATATATATAAATATATAAATATATATATATATATATATATATATATCACTGTTTCCTTGTTAAATAAAAACTCCACAATTTTATAAAAAGCATTTATTAAATAACCATTCATAGGTTCATCATGCACACAATTTGCATCATCATACACAACATTTTTTTGTATAAATAAAATCAAAATATAATAAACAAATAAACAAGAAAAACAATAACAATATTTTTAGATAATAAATACTGGCTATTTAGCATAAAAATTTCAAAAGCATAACAATTATTACCTAATTTAATATAAATATTTTTTTTCACTTTTTGGTGTGATTTTTATAAAAATGGTTTTGTGGGTGAATAACAAAATTTAATGAGATTTTTTTGTAAGCAAGTTAGTTACTATATTAAATACTGCATATGTTTTTTAGTGAGTTTGGGTGTACTGAGTATCCAAAGATGAAGGCATGCTGTAACTAATAGTATTATAAACTGGAGCATCATATGATGAACCACCAGCTGCCTCATAATTATGACTGATTTGGGTGCTGTAAGCATTTAAATCGCGATTAGATTCCTTGTAGGACAAAGGAGATGTTGCTCCGATAAATGGAGAAGGTTTGAACGGAATTTTAGTATTGGGTGCCCCATAAGACACACTGGGTGCCTCGTAACTCGTCGAGGCACTTGCAGTAGGTGCCCCATAAGAACTACTTGGGGGCAAGTAAGATGCACTGGATTCTTCCTTGGTGTGAAGTATAAGAAATCTGAGGTGCCCCATAAGACGATTCTGGTTGATGTTGGATTGCCCACCACCAGTTGTGTAGGAAGCAAATAGTTGATTAGTGTGTCCACCAACTGAGAATGAAGGTTGATGTCCTGATTGGCTTCCTGAACTTTGAGCATACATTGGAACTCCATAAGAGTTCGATGGATTGTTTGCCATGGTGATGAAAGTACCAGACAGGCTATTTGGGGTTGGTGTTCCACCGTAGAACATAACAGGTCCTTGTTTGTCCCCAGATTGAATCATCACTGATGAAATTGCTCCTTGAGAACCTACAAAATCAGGTGTTCCATACGTTTGTTGCACAGACTGATGTCCGACATTGAAAGAATTCGAATCACTTTCAGTAGGTGCTCCGTAGGATTCTTGAGGTTGCCCGTAAGAAGTTGATGGTGTATGTGGTTCCAGGCTACTAAAACTCACCATAGTGTGAAGTTTTTGGGTACCCAAGTGTCCTGAAGGTACTTGTTCTAAATTTTTTCCTGTAAAGTCAAACTGCGGGCTTTGACCATTTCCTAAAGATCCCAGTTGATAACCTTTACCAGATCCGGAAAAACTATCACCCAAAGACAATGTACGGGAATCGTAGTTTCCACTCAAACCAACTCCGGTGACAAATGGGTTATTCATGACTTGCATGTGTACAACTGGTTGGCACATCCGATGGAACCACCTCCGATGGTACCACCTTTGAAGGATCCACCAAAGTTGGGACCAAATGAATATCCACTGCTTGGGAATGATGATTGTCCCCCGCCGAAAGATAATCCGCCTTTCAAACCGCCTCCAAAGCTACCAAAGTTACCTCCTTTTAGATTCAAATTGCCGCCGAAATTGTGTCCGCCGAAACTTGGTGTTTTGAAACCACTGCCGAAAGAGTTACCGCCGCCAAAACTGTGACCACCGGATAAAGATCCACCCGAAGAAAATGACCCTGATTGAAACCCCCGGAGCTCCCAAAACCTTTGAAGTTACCTCCGAAACCATGTCCGCCTGATAAAATGAATTTCCTAAACCCCAGACCCAAATCCTTGATTACCACCTTTGAACGATCCAAAACCTTTCTGACCTCCAAACGAGTATCCTCCAAAACTGCTTCCCCTTGGGCCTTTACCAAATCCATTACCTCCGAATGACGAACTGCCTCCAAACTGTTTACCAGATCCCAAGATTTTGTTACCGTAATTTCCTTGAATAGAATTGGTAGAGAAGGTAGGAGTTCCGTAACTTGATGATGGTGATCCGTAATTTGATGTTGGAGTTCCGTAACTTGATGATGGTGATCCATAATTTGATGATGGTGATCCGTAACTCATAGATGGAGTGTGGTGCATCACAAAGGAACTTCCAAGTAAAGCTTGAGGTTTGGGAAATGGTGGTGGCCCATAATGAATCGGAGCTTCTCTTTTGCCAGAATTTTTATCTGGGCGAATTCGTTGGCCTTTGATATGAGACACATCGCATGACACCAGAGCTATGACGAGCGCCAAGGTGCAGCTCCGCTATTCAAAGGAAATTCAAAAATGATAAAATAGAGAAAATTTGTAAAATAAAAACAAGGAAATAGTGATGGAGCTTGTGATCGAATTAGTTTGAGCATTAGTAAGGTTTTTTAAGTTATTTTAAAAATCCTGTAGTTCTCGAATGTAGAATTTTGTAGATCGAACAACTAAAAATAGCCCATATTAACTTTTAATATAGTTAATTATTGTTTGAATTTGAATGAGTAGCATAAGATTTGAGTTTTTTATTGTTATTATGTATAATTACATTAAATTAATAAATTATGTTTTTTAACGTAATTATAAGCGAAGATAAATAATATTACTACACCTGTATAACTTATTTTAATTTTTTTTAATCAAAATGATGAAATAGTCAGAATTTATAAAAATGTTATTTCAGTTCGAGTATCTCCTAAAATTAATTATAAATTTATATAATTTATAAAAAAAAATTCTTATAAAATATAAAAAGTAAGTATACTTTGTTTATTAATGTTATCGTCTTGGGCGTTGAATAAATAAATAAATATACTTTAATTATACTTTAAGTAGAATATAAAAAAACATATGATCTATCAAGTAAAATATAATTTCGAATATAAAAATATTACAAAATTATTTTCAAAATCATCATTATGAAGAACAAAATTTTAATAATTATTAAAAATGATTTTGACTATATATTAGTATTTTTAAAATAATTTGTTTGCCAATATAGTTTTCCAATATAATATTTTATTATATTTAGATTTTTCTAAAATATCTACAAATATAAAATTTAAATGGAATATATTTAATATTACAATTTTACTCGAAGTTTGAGTATATAAATAAAAACAATTATAAGAAAATAGAAAATTTTAGATCCAGCATATTGTAATTTATTATTTGAGTTCAGAAAAAGAAAAGAGAACATAAATTTTAATGGAATTTATGAAATTTTTATCGGATTATGTTAAAATTTTACTTGAAAATTTAAATGTTAAAATAAAACGAATTAAAATATTTTTTTAATAAGAACTGAAAAATTAATAGATTGTAAAGTTCAGACATATTTAAATTAAAACTTTGGATATCCAAAAACATTATCACAAACTAATTAAAAAAACTAGAAATTTCAATACCTTGTATACTTAATAATATAATTTTGATCAAAAATTCGAAGATCTAAATAAAAAATCAAAAAATAAAAATATTGGTAAATTTCATAGAACACCATGAGAATTAAAATGTAAAAGTCAGGTAATAAAATCCAAAATTTCAGTAATTTCATATAATATTCAAGAAAATTATATAATATAATGATAAATTCAATTCATTGAATTATTATTTTAAGAATATACCTACTAATATATTTTCAATGAAAAATTCGAAGATTTAAATAAAAAAATCAGGAAACAAAAATATTGGGAAATTTCATAGAACATAATGAAAATGAAATGTATATGTCAGGTAATAAAATCATAGAATTTCAGAAATTTCATATAAAGTTCAAAAATATTAATTTCAAAAGATACTAAATAGAAAATTAAAGATACACTATGAAACTTTTGAAAATTCCCACATGAAATATGGAAAATATAAAAAAAATATGAATTTTAATGTATTAATACAATTTAACAAATAAAATGTTCAAATAATGAGTATTCCAAAAAACAAAAAAAAAATAGAATTCTCAAATCAAACGTTGGAAATCTAACATAATGATAAGAGAACTTGCAAGATTTGTTTGCATTTCTACATTCTAGCCTAGTGCTCGTCATAAGAGGGCAACCCAAATCACTCTTCTTTTTTATATCAGATATGTATATCTAATGGTGTTTACGTATATGTGTTCCAATAATGCCTAAAAAGGCAATTTTCACTTATTTTGGGATCTATAACCTAAAGTGAAAACTTGATATTATACAGCTTGATATCGAGCTGATCGATGTTGGGCCAATTTGTTCTAGCCAAAGTTTGATAAGAAATAAACAAATAGTATGAGAAAAATTTGTTCAATTTGTTCTAGCCAAAGTTTGATAAGAGATAAACAAATAGTATGAGAAAAATAATGTTCAAATATTATTACCATCAAAGTAATTCGCCAGTAAGTTCAAATACCATACACCAATGGTACAAATAGTACCAAAAGACAATAATTCTATATATTTCCATCAATTTATTTACGTGAAAGTGAACAAAATCGATTCCAACAAATAAACTAAACAAGCCTTCAATCGATCAATAATAACAATGAAAAGCAGTTTCGATTTTATCGATATTGACCCTGTCGTCGTGCGTGACTGATCTCGATATCTGATATCAGATATTCGATATTTTTAATTTTATTTTAGTAAAAGACAATCGGAAATTATAAGATGTGAGTGAGTGTGCACGATTGTGAATTTGATATTTTTAATCCGCAAAAGTGTCGGTGTAATGCAGGTGGATCAATTTTACCTTTCAAGGTTGTGGCCAATGTTATGGCAAGGCCATGTTATGCTCCAACTTCCATACATTATGCTACTAAAACATACTGAATACTGTCAAAATGGCATGTATTTGCTGTGCATTCAGGCGATTTACACATAAACTGCAACGTCATTCGTATGTTATGAAGCTGAGTCAGAAAGACCCTGTTATCTGAGATCGTTATTTGACATTTGGGCGGTTTCTAGGCTAGTTTTTCTATCTAGTAATATATTTATATATTACTAATCTAGAATAATGTCGCAATCCAAAAGAGGACTCATCAAAAATTTTATGAGAATCGGTGCAGTAGAAATGGAGAAATCGTGGGTATCGTATCGAAAAACACAGTTTCCAAAAAAAACGCTTTTAAAGTTTGGGGCGAAACAGACATGGATTATTGAGGTCAAATAATTATATCTCCAAAAATAATTTTTATTTTGAAAAATTCTCTTGCACACACATTCTTGAACAGTTAAACTTTATAAAAATCGTTTTTTTTTGTTTCAAAATTGTATAGTATAAAGAGAAGGTTTCAAAATCAGAGATATCAATTATATTGAAATTACTTCATGTTCTTTCTAAACTTAGATTTGTAATTTTTTGTGAATATAATTTAAAAAAAAACGTACTAAAAACTTTTTTAGACGCATTTTAGAACCAAGTAAAGTTTAGCATTTATCAAACATTTTTTTAATATTTGAGAAATAATAAATTGAAGTAACATTTATTATAATAGGTCAGTTGCCTGATTCAGAACAAATGACTTAAATTCTATAAATATGTAACACCAGACTTGAGAAACTAGTTTCATAATACATACTGTAAATATAAAGCAAAACTTTTATAATTTTGCGACCACAAATCATAATATGAAAAACTTATATAAAAAATGTTTATCCCACCTGGTTAAGTGACCATATTAACTTTATGTATATATATATATATGTAACAAGTTGAACGATTCGAGAATTAAGATTCATACGCCTTCGGGAAAATACAAATCAAGTAGAAAATATAAGGTCGATAAACTTTGATATGCACTTTTTTATTTGCATTATTTAATGGAACTTACTTCCTTATAAATATCATCATTGAAATGTATGAATATATTGAACAATTATATTCTACGATTTTTATGAAATTAATTTTTTGACGATAGATATCATGGTCTTGTAGATCATACTAAAATATTACGGCCCTACGACAAGTCGTTTAATTTTAATAATTCTTCAAAGTTTGAAAAATAAGTTAGGTTTTCTTGATTTAAGTCGATTTCAAAAAGTAAAAACCTTTCGGTAAAACTTCAAATAAAAATAAAATAACGTGACAAGAAAACTGCATTTCAAATTTTGCCAAAGTTGCCAAATTAATTGAAAACTGAAATCATAGACTCTAGAAGTCTAGGACGATTTTTGTCGGAAAATTTAATATGCTCATATTTATATGGTAGGTTCCTTATGACGTTAGAAAGCTGCAACTTGCCTTAAGACTAAATTCTTCTTCAACTAGATATTGTTTTTATTAAATGCAATGTTAATTTTGCAGACTTAGAAGATTTTGTTTCTATTGATAATATCAAAAAATGAAGATATATCCTACTAAAACACTTAAATCATTAAATAATTTAATTTAAAACAATGATAGTTTTATGCATCTGTTTTCACCAATTTACTTTTCTAT